TGTGTAGATTTAGTAACACGACACACTATTGTAGACACTAAACTCACATACACTGGCCATGTGTAGATTTAGTATCACGACACACTATTGTAGACACTAAACTCACATACACTGGCCATGTGTAGATTTAGTAACACGACACACTATTGTGGACACTAAACTCACATACACTGGCTATGTGTAGATTTAGTATCACGACACTAGTCCACTGTGGATAGTGCTCACATGCACTATGTGCTGTTTGTTGTTGGATATCGCCTTCATATGGACATCAGGTGTGGAGACAGCAATGGCGGTAAGATCTGGAAATACTGTATCTGTATATGAAGCCTATTCAGGATGTTACCCGGCAACTATGCTGCAAACCGAAACATGAGTCTCATTAACCTATTCAGACAATGACCTACTTTTCAGCCGATCCAAATTTTCTTGTGTGAGAGTGAAAAGAGACACCACAAACAACTATGGTTACACTGAATTCCAATTACTTGTTTCATAAGAAAATGGTATTTACAAGTTATTTTTATTTTTAAACTTTAATAACATCGTATTTCTATATGTTATGGCGAGGTGTAGTCAGCATGACCTTAACTAAGACGTCACAGACTGCCCCTGCTTGATGAGGTCGTGAAATGATTCACAAGTCATCTGGCTCCCTTGGTTACACCTGATATGTATTATTTGCGCGTATTCAATGTAGTTTTGTGAAGCACAATGTGGTTGATATAATATCAAGTCCGTACCAGACCGCCAAACATTTCTAGCGGCAGAGCAGTGTAGGAAAGATAGCCCGTCCCAACGTCCGAGACGGGTGAATTTTGTGGAGGACGGGTTAAAAAAATATCTAGTCCGTCCTCATGTCGGGTCAATTTTAGCAAACCAATGACATATATATAATGATTATAACCTTTTTGAATATTTATTGCCGAAGGTGTTTTATTTATATTTGGAGGACAGGCTAGATTTTGGCAGGACTGGTAAAAAATTTGACCTGCCAGTCCTGTGGACAGGCTAGATTTTCTACATCTTTCCTACACTGGGCAGAGCCTCCTTTTGAGATTTCCACGATTTCCAGATTTCCGTGTCAGAGCACGCTGTACGATAGATCACGCTGCATGACTTGTTGCAAGGATTAGACTGACTGACTGACTGAGTTTGGTTTTACGCCGCTTTTAGCAATATTCCAGCAACATCACGGCGGGGGACACCAGAAATGGGCTTCACACATTGTACCCATGTGGGGATTCGAACCGGGGTCTTCGGCATGGCGAGCCAACACTTTAACCACTAGGCTACCCCACCGCCCCCTGCAAGGATTAGAAGGAGCGTAGTGTTGCAATATACAAGAGCTTAGATGTATCAAATAAAACTGATTAATATTTATGTATCCAGTTGAATGAATTGGTCTCAAAATTCTGGACTGGTTATTGTACTAAGTTGCGCAATAGGACGGAACCCAGTCACCAGGAAACGAGACTGTTGTGTAATCAATGTTTTGACTTGTTCCAACACAAGAAATACCCCGGTCCTGTAACGTCCTCCATATACTAGCACACATCCTTCTGAACGCCCTTCAGAGACACTGAATGTCCGCTCTATGAAATATCCGTAAAAAGAGCATGTTCAAGTGTTTCACTAACTCATGCAATGGATATCAAAAGCTGAATGTGAAGCCTCTACTCAAGTGAATTTTGTCCAATAGCATAAACTCGACCATTCTTTTAAGAGCTATAATATCTGGGAGGTAGGTTTGTCAAAATATAAAATATTAATACCCTATACATTTAACCATTTGGCTCTCATCTACGATCCTTCTGAGAAAGGACATCAGATGGAATTAAAATTGAAGCGTTATAACAACTCAATTTCAGTAATCTATTGCTACATATCATGTTTTCATTACGGTTCATGGTTCCTCCAAAATGTTACCAAGGCCCGGCATGTAGGCATGCTTCATTCATCTCAAATTCAACGCATAGGTGTTATTGGTAAACGTAAATGATAATCGATGTTGACTTTGAGCCAGATTTGGTAGAAGAGGACCACCTCACTCACATTCACCAAGAATTTCATAATACGTGTAGAATATTCATTGTTAGATGAGCAGCATCTCCAAGGGGTGTGGTCAGCTGGGATTGAGCCCCACTTAACAACTCAGGAATTGAACCGACAAGCGTTATGCACTGGAACTTTCTGTACAAATGATATAGAACGTCAGCTCTAAAGAATACCCAGACTTGACTATCCTCAGAAACACATCCCGTTCAGTGTAAAGGAAAACATAAAGTGAAAATTATAGGAATGGATCATCAGTGACGACACCAGGTGTTAAGCCCTGTTATACAATTCAGATTTTCATTTACATTGTATAATGATCGTTCAATATATGGGTTAAAAATTAATTAAATTCCGCACTGTTCGAAATACTTATGTAGACAGAGGTTGTTGTTGTTTCTGTTTTTTTGTTTTGTTTTTGTTTGTTTGTTTTTTTATTCATTCCCATAGTTACATATATACTAACATATTATTGTAACAGAAGTGAGTGGGTGAGTATGGTTTAGCGCCGCTCTTAGGAACACTCCAGCAATATCGTGGAGTGGGATACCAGAAACGAATCCCACAGACAGTACCCATGGGATAGAACCCAGCTACTCTAATATTCTTTCAAGTGAAGTACTAAAAGTGTTGGGTGGATTTGGTAATGTGTTAAAAATATGGACTAATTTTAAAACTGCTAATGTCTTGATAACTGTAATCTTTCCTTTTAATGTTAAATGCCTTTTTCTCCAGATCGCCAATAGTCTATTAATTTCTTGAAGCCTTTTCCTAGTATTAATCACCCATAAGTCACATAGTGTTGAAGTAACTTTGATACCTTATACCTCAAATTCATCTCTGTGCCATTCTATGTTTAATCTTTCCTCACTACCCGCTTTTAATCCTATCCAGATTGCTTTAGTTTTATCAATATTTATCTCAAGACCCGACATATTGTAAAAGGTATTCATTGTATTGATAGCAGCATACAGGCTATCTTCTGAGCCATCAAGAAATAATTCTGTGTCATCAGCATATTGTCCAAGTTTGTATTATTTATCATCTATAGTAATTCCTTTTATGTCTTTATTTGCTCTTTCCATACAACCTAAAATTTCAGCTACAAAGAGAAATAGGTAAGGGAATATGGGGTCTCCTTGTCGGGAGCCTCTTTCATTTGTAAAAAAATCTGAAAAATGGCCATTTTGAATTACAAAGGAAGCCAAAACCAAATGTTTCCAGTACTAAATCGATAAACCTTTTTGAGACAGTATTATTATTATGTTTTACAGATTAAAGATAGTATGCAGCAGAGAGGGTTCGGGTGATCCTGGCACAGTCAGGCTGGTAAGGCTCATCATCAGCTCAGGGCCCTTGCCCCCTCTACACGCAGCCCAGACAGCGAATGGGACTTCTCCCAGGAAACACTGCCTAGTCGAACCCACCAAGAACTTTCCGGAGAATATGAAGGCTCCCCAACACTGCATCCGTCTGCATTACCTAGATTGTCAGAAGGGCTGTGTTCCCGGTGGAGAACCCGGGCACTCTCCTGATCTGCGCTAAGAGATCAGGAGGTACCAAACCAAGGGCACCGAGAACAATGGGGAGCCTGACGACAGTGTACTTGGGATGCATGCGAGACATTTCAAAGGCGAGGTCCGCATATTTATCATGCTTTTCCTGAACCTTGCCAATCACATTTCTGTCAAAAGGGACAGAAAATTCAATGATATAAATAAATTCATTGGCTTTACAAAAAAGGACAAAATCAGGTTGATCAGATCTGTATATGGGCCTATTCCACAGAAGTTTGAAAGCATCATTCTCCATGACGCCCTGGACATGTTCAGGGTCATACCATGGATGGACCTCGGAGTCAAAGCCACAGACATGGCGGAGACGGTAGTAAAAGCAATATTATTATTATACGATATTTATATAGCGTACATATCCAGGCAACTAGTGCTTGCTCTAGGTGCTGGTATTTTTCCCTCGATCATTGGATGTCAATCTCAACGGCACATCGTCTTATCAATCTCAACTCCCTGGGGAGTATGCAACTCTTGCAGCCACTAGGCGCACCGAGTTATTGTGGCTTTCTCATCCTAACGAGGTACCCATTCACAGCTGGGTGGACTGGGACACATAGACACAGTACTTTGTCCAAGTTCACTGCACGTTGCTGTACCCGCAACTAGGTGTTTGCACGTATTCATGCGGCCACCATCTGGTCTTATACCAACGGATTCGTGGGTTCTTTTAAGTCCACAGAGTTGTGTACTGTACACTAGGGGTTGTGACAACACTGAAAGAGTCTGCACACAAAGTTGACTCCAAGGTTTTTACACCCGGTCACAGGTGGGTTCGATCCCAACACCTCAACCTCGCTGGATCACTAGCCTGGCGCCTTAGCCAGCTCGCCCACCCGGCCCCACAGTATCAAAAGCCTTTTCGAAATCTATCAAAATTAGTAAATATTTCTATTTTTCGTTTCAAACATAATATCATAAAGTAGTCTTGTGTTTTCACTAATGGTTCTGCCTGGAATAAATCCAGTTTGATTATCATTAATAAGTTTTTTCTTTAACCGGTTTGTAATACAAGTACTGATTATCTTATAAAGGTCATTTAAAAGAGTTATTGGCCTCCAATTTATTAGAAAAGATCTATCTTTGTTTGGTTTAGGGATACAAGTTATAACTCCCCTTTTTATAGTCAAGGATAATTTCATTTTAGTTGAGACTTCTTTAATAAATCTAAAAATCCAAACGTTTATTTCTTTCCAGAAAAAGTCTATTGGAAAACCATCAATTCCTGGACTTTAGTTATTTTTATGCAGACAGTGTTGTTCCAGGATCAGAAATCGAATTCTGATCTTCAAAGACCCGCAGAGCAACTCACGACATACTAGTAGATGTATTGTAAAATTTAAAATTTACACATTTTACAACAAAACAAACTTCTAATAGATTTTTAGTTTAATATTTCTGAATATCCAAAATGACTACATTAATTTATTCTTTTTTTTAATACAAGAACAGACACTCATATACAATGAAAGTGTGACTATTCCAGACAAACATAAACTGACTCTCACACAACCAATGAATTTAGAATTTAGAATTTAGTTCCCATATAGAAACAAGAACAAAAGTAGCTCCTGAGTAAAGTAATGCTTAACTACCTCATTCAAACCCCATTACACCTAATTAACTCAAAGGATATGCCAACAGTAGCTCCTGAGTAAAGTAATACTTAACTACCTCATTCACACCTCATTACACCTAATTAAGTGACAGGATATAACAACAGTAGCTCCTGTGTAAAGTAATACTTAAGTACCTCATTCGAACCTCATTACACCTAATTAACTGAAAGGGTATAACAACAGTAGCTCCTGAGTAAAGTAATACTTAACTACCTCATTCGAACCTCATTACACCTAATTAACTCAAAGGGTAAAACAACAGTAGCTCCTGAGTAAAGTAATACTTAAGTAGCTCATTCACACCCCATTACACCTAATTAAGTGACAGGATATAACAACAGTAGCTCCTGTGTAAAGGAATACTTAACTACCTCATTCAAACCTCATTACACATACATGTAATTAACTGAAAGGGTATAACAACAGTAGCTCCTGAGTGAAGTAATCTTAACGAGTTTACACCTCATCACACCTAATTAACTGAAAGGGTGAGCTGTCCCTGTCTGGCAATGCCTTCCACAGAATTTCCCTGCGTGGCACTTTTAATTAGCGATGTGTGACAGACGCAAGTGCCACAGAGGGAAACCACCAATATCTCAATGTTAGGTTTCACATAAACGCCTGCAACACTGAATGAAAGTTAAGAAAAATATAATGAAATCATATCCATGGACCTTTACTACTCAACGTTTGCACTGGCAGCATCACTTCCGGTTGAACCAAAGCTACTTTGTGGAGACTGAAGGGGGTCATCAGTTGCAAGCTTGCGATATACTGGCGACGACTTCCGACGTCGCTTGATGAGAACGATGATGACGACACATCCGAGAATAGCAACCACAGCGATTCCAGCTGCTACCCCAGTGTTTGGGAGTGCTTCAGTGCTTGGGAGCAACGGAGGAGCAGACTGGAATGGCGGCCGACGGATTTTGGGAAATCCCACTTCTGACAGGAAACCCGCCTTCAGGCAATAGTTGATCTCACAGCCTTGATCGACGTAGGCCAGATGTTGACTGTAGCCTTTGGGACAGTCCTTGGGCCAGCTTTTGGATTTTTGTAAGAATGAGTGCAGTGATGGCAAAGTCGAGTTCTTGTTACCCTCAGGTCTAGGGTTCATATCAAGGGGGTTACCAGTTGTACAGCTGATGAAACCTCCGAATGGCATGGAATACTTCATAGCCAGCTCGTAGTCATCACTGATACAGATGTGGAGGTCCTTCCCCAGGGTGCGAGTGTAGAAGTTGACAGGGCAAGTCTTTCCTTGAGTGAGAGGATTGTTAAGCTGTGACGTGTAGAGGCCTCCGAAGAGGTAACCAGTCTCCTGAGACACCGGACCCGTAGCTGCGCACCAATGCATGATGTAGGTTGCTTCGCTGTGGTAATAGTTGTCGTGGCAACACTTGAAGAACAGCCAGCAGGAGTGACAAGAGTGGACTGACTTCGAGTCGGACAGGCGTCCTGTGTGCAGTTCTACTGGTTCATACCCATCTGGACAGGTATGTCCTCCTGTCTTAGGGTTCACTTGGTCGAGGCCAGAACAGAGGTCGCTGTTGTTTGATCCCGAGGATATACTACAGGTTTGAAAAACTCCACCGAATGTCAGATTAGTGTAGGGACTTTTACACGTTCCGTCATCCAGGTTGGCGGCAGGGCTAAAGTTAGGCGAGTCCAGTTCAGTACATCCCCTGTATGTGTTAAACTCATAGTAATGCAGAATTGTCTCCTGAACAAGGTTCTGAAGTTGATAAAGGATGGAGTTGGGCAATTCGGGGAGAGAGGCAGAGTTGATAAGGAAGAAGAGGGGGTCTCCAGACCTATCCACGGCCACAAGTTCATGGTCAACCTCGTAGGTCCAGTTGTTGGCTGTGAAGTTGGAGGCCTTGAACATAGGACCTCCTAGAGTATCGATCTGAGAGGAGGATCTGTGCTGTTCATATGCTGTCTTCACTTCATTGGACGTAGAAGAATGATAAGAAACACCGATACTGAAAATCCCAAAAAAAGAAGCACTCGCTCCAGCCGTTATTTGACTCTTTGAGAATTTCTTGCTGTTCACAAATTCCGCAGACACCTGGTCCTCCTGCACCAAGGCGGCACCGGCATCTACACTTGTGATGACGTGTGTACCGAAGTCCCGCACAAGAAGTTCACTGTCATAGCGTGCTTGGTCCATCTTCTTCAGTTGCAGGCTTCCCGCGATACTGAGCAGACGAGACTTGAACGTGGGATGAAGAGCGGCGTCGGGCTGCAGCTTGGCCGTGAAGCGAACGTACCTCAGTTGGACTCGGGTTGTGTAGGACCTATCACCTATCTGTTTGGACTTCACATTCTCAAAGCCGGGAGAAAATGTACCACTGACTTTCACCGAGTCAAAACCGAGGCCCGCTTCGACGTTTACACCGTGGGCCGTGATACTGGTATAGTTGGACCAGTGAGAGATTAGTTCAGCACATACTTTCAGCTTACTTGCCTTCAAAGGGATGGTGTTGACTGTATCAGGGATGAGGTAACGGCCGTCTTCAGTTGTCCGACACCTGGAGTAGTTGTAGACGACGACGAGGCCGGAGTCCACGTTCCGCAGGTTGTCCCAGCCATGACCAGGCAGAACCTCAAAACGCTCAAGTTTTTTGTTATCTCTGTAACACGCTCGAACGTCACCGATGGGAAACTCAGGTTTGTTTCCAGAGTCAAGCAGTTTGCCCCCTAATACACTGGCCACACCACTGACGACGAGGACGAAGCTCAACATGTCGACGGTCGATCTCAACACCCCCTCTCGTTGTGATGTACTTCCTCATTGCACCGCATATTTGATCATATCCACTCGTCACGTGCTTTTACAGAGTCACGGAAAACCCGTTTTAACTGTACTTTCTCATCCCACAACCAGATTTTGTTTAACAGTCAAGGTCCAACTAACAGCCTTCAAGGAAATATGAGGGCATCGTCTGTAGAATAATTACGTCGCACGTCGCTGTTATGTATGAGTCAGCCGTGCATATTTTATGAACGCTTCTTTATGTTGCGGACAGCGCATGCGTATAATCAGACCTTTCCAATGCATTCTTATCTCCCCCTGATTTATTATCACCCCTTGCGAACTCTTTCGAAAAAAAAGATAGAACGGCTCCACACTCCGGCACAGCGATGATTTAACATCATATAGGGAAGGCTCATGCAATGAACGGCACATGTGCCACTCAGAAGAGCCAGTGACCTGACACACATCGCAGTGTTATTGTTTAGACCCCACTTCAGAAACAGCTGTGTTGCGGCGAGACTGTCCGTTATCTTATATAGACTGGGGTCGAGAGACCTAGACTTGCACAGGTTCTTCCCAAAGTATAGAACTCCATGTTAATCTTAGTATAATGCTTATTCACATATATTATATCTGTTGATTTGATTTAAACATATTTTATTCACAAATGTGAAAGGGATTGGGGACAAGTAATCCAACTTAAAATACCCGCTCCCTAATATTTACATACATACATTTTCAATTATATACATATTAGGAAAGAATAGAGAGAAGAGATAGGAATGTTAAGTAGAGGAAGGGATACAACTCATGTGATCACACAAAACGTTTTGATTGATAAATAAAAGTTTGCACACCTTTTAAAACGTATTCATTCTGTTGAATGGTCATATCAGGACTTCCAAATAACATCAATGACAATGTGATTGGAGAGTCTCGATTTACAATACTTTTTAAATTTAACATTAATATTTCCCTTTGAATGTTGTACAGTTTCTAATAGGAAGTGATGTACATTTTCACAAGTATTGCCACAGTAACAAGAAGCAGAATCTTTCATGTTGAAACGATACAGATCATAATTTAGCTGACTGGTCATATATCTCAACTTTGTGTGTATAATATTTAATTTTCTAATTCCAAACGAGTAATATGATGGAGCTACAGGTTGCTCGCACTTTAAGTACGACTTGAAACTTTGTAATGAAGGTCAATTTCTTTCGGTATCAGAAATATTATTCCACATTCTTAAAGCTGATGCAAAAAAGGAATCATATGAAAGTCTTAACCTTGCAGAAGGTAGAATAATATTGTTAGCATTCCTAAGGTTATATTATTTTTTGTTTGTTCATAATAATTTGTGTTTGTTCATAAATATCTGTTCTCATATTACATCTTTTTGTCACTATATCCTGGTACATCTAACCTGCTTATTCTTATATTTTGGTTCTAATGTAAATAATACCATCTCTCCAATTATATTTAAGTACAATTCCTTCACTTTACAGTTTGTTAGTATCATATATGTGTTTGCTTTTGAATTCTCGGATTTACTTTATTGCTCTACTATATTCTCAATAAGCAATTTACACGTGAGTTATAATTTCTTCTGTTAAAAATCAGTGGTCTATAGTGACAGTGGAAATATTATGTTTGGATGACCAATGTTTTCCACAATATAAAAACAAGCGGCAGTTATACAGGACTGATACAACACAACACTATTGTTTTATGAGATTAATAATTCTAACATTCACCCCCCTAACTCCCCCTTCCCGGCTAGCCCTTACCGCGACGCTTACGTGCGCAGTGCTTCTGATAGTAACCATACGCCCTGTCCTGTCAACACCTTAAAGCCTACTGATGACACCACATCTGTAATCTGAAACCTCATCTCCAAATAAGCTCCAGTTGCTGCTGTCCGGCAAAATATTCAGTGCGACAGACAGAAATTAGGCAAGCTATAAACGTGTTAGCGAAGCAGTTTAGAAAGGTAACAAATACATACTTAACTAATGATTGCTGAAAGAACAAATTAGTACAATAATACACGATGTGTGGACATGTGTGTGTTCGCGAGTAAGTGGAGCTGGTACTGGCAGTAGTTCTCAGTTCAAATATACTTCCCCAAACCTTCTTGATCACCCTTGTTCTTCTACTTTACAGATTAAGAGTAGCTACTTTTCATCATTTTTCTATTCTAAAAAAGTAAACAAAATCAATCCCTACTCCCTACCTACATCAGGGGGTTCTCTGTGCAAAGCGTCACTATAGAAATAGCTTGAAATATGGACGGCACGTTTGGGAGCGGGGCATGTTTTGTATGGAAATACTTGAAATTACGGGTTGGAAATAACATTATCGTCTTCCTCAACCATTTGGCCATCTAATCAAGTAATACAAGTCACTCCCTAATCCCTCTTCAAGTGTACATTGGTACCCTACATCAAGGGGCAAAGCGTCACTCTATGCAAATGAACGCGTCACTATAGAAATAGCTTGAAATATGTACATTGGTACCCTACATCAAGGGGGGTCTCTACAAAGCGTCACTTAGAAATAGGAAATATGAACGGCACATTTGGGAGCGGGGCATGTTTTGTATGGAAATACTTGAAATTACGGGTTGAAAATAACATTATCGTCTTCCTCAACCATTTGGCCATCTAATCAAGTAATACAAGTCACTGGCTACCGCCTCTTCAAGGGTACATAGGTACCCTACATCAAGGGGGATCTCTATGCAAAGCGTCACTATAGAAATAGCTTGAAATATGGACGGCACATTTGGGAACGGGGCATTTTTTGTATGGAAATACTTGAGTTAATTACTTAAAATATAATTGTGCAGAATCGGTTCACTTTGGTTGAAAATCTCCTGGGATAATTATTCCTGTAAGGCAGACCTGTCATACCTTCTTTTTTCGCATAGTTTTCTCCATGCCTAAGATTTACTTCAATACTCCGGAAATACATAGTTCAGTAAAAACCAATGCAATGAATCCACTTATGGAATTAAAATAGCCATGAATCGCCACTTGAAGAGGGATGTAACACTACAGACTGTTCCTCAAGCCTGTAGTGGTTCTTCACACATTGTGTTACATGAGACAACACTTTTCATTTTGACGTCTATTTATGATTGACAGATAGTCATCAATAATTATTATCTACAACAATGTGTAGATCACAATCATCATCGCAATCATCATGTATATTGGCTAAATTGTCTTATTCTGAAAATAAATGTTTTATACAGACAACGTGAGTTAAGCATTGTCAGTGGGGCTTTGTACTATCTATTTGTATGGGTTCCATTTCGGGAGGTAATGATATTGTGACTTTCAATCATGATCACTTGCAGGTACTCGTTAAAAATGTTATATAGACTGGAAAACTGACTCCACCCTCACTGTAACCAGGGAGACTATATAACGGGGAGTGGTCACTCCTCGAAAAGCCCCTTAGCGTATGCCTCGGCTCGTCACGTGACCAGTGTAGCCAATATGTCGGAAGCGTAGTTTTTAAGATTGAGCCCAGTTTAATTTACATTCGCTGAGTGTTGTGACAACTGAAAACCTACATGTAGAAGATAAGTTACCTATTCTGTCACTTCATTTTAAGTAAAAAAATTGTTATAAGTTATTAGTGTCAGTATTAGTACGGTAGATTTGTAGTAAAGTTTCAAGTCGGCATGTTCTAGTTTAGTCTGTCGTACAGACCCTGAAGCAAATATATCCAAGAAAGCCCACGCAAGTCTAGAAAATGTGGCAAGTCTAGATTTCCTCAGCTTAAGGAAATGAAGAAAGTCTCAGGGCTACATTCTATCGCTAACAAAGTCTTTCACATGTTCGTTAAATTTTTAGAAGGGAAATATGCCTTTAGTTGAAATGTGGTTGCAAGTAATAGTGATAGTTTTATCACTAAAAACAATTGTTAGGGTGTATTTGAGGTGTGTGCAAAATATGACATATCGCCGATCTGTTCTGATCCGCCATTGATGCTTGTGATGCTTGAGTGTTATAGTTCTAACATGTCTTTCTTGTTGATCTTAGTATTTGACAAAACTGGAAAGGTGTTTTGTGATAGTTCTAAACTTTCCGTTTTTGAGGGATGTGTGACAGTGTCAGTTAACACTCTGTCAATGTCCATGCCATTCCACACATGCAATACGATATCTGACTAATGTAAAAAATGTCTCAAAAGAAGATTTAAAAAAAAAAGAACAGCTGATGGTAACACATGTGTTCTAGGGATAGTTTTGCGTTCTTTAACATGTTTGGGGAGGGATGGCCGTGGTGTATCATGTATTCTTTCATTCATTCACATATGTATTTCTTTCTTTTGTTCTTTTTCTTTATTTCTTTCATTCATTCACATATAATTCTTGCTCTTAATTCATTTATTTATTTATTCATTCATTCATTGTACAATTCCGATTGATACAAGAAACTGGCTGAAGTACTGTTAAACGCAGCCGAAGTTGCGCTGGGAACGAACCAAGTCACTGTGTGCGTTGGAGCATGACGAGGCACATGTTAATTAGTACAAATGGTCCAGAAGCAAGCGAGTGACCTATCCCTGTTGTAGATTATCCCTGCTGTGACCAAGTTCTCTACCAGTGAACATTCACACTGGTAGGGAATTTTAGGGCAAACCTTTATTGTCTGTGCCGCGATTCCCAATGCATTTTTTTAGTATACAGTCATATTTGAATATTGACAAGCATTTTGTTTTGGCCTTTTTTTTATTTTCGCCCGCCCGCCCCATTGTTGGAACAGTCAGGCGATGATAAACACATGATTAAATACGGACGCATTATTGAAATAACATTTTTGTGACATTTACAACACAATATAACGATTTCATACCTTGTGGAAGGAAAATTGTAACGCGTTATTGAACGCTTCTGTACACTTTCTTGTCATGACGTCCGACATGTTGGATCACACGGTATGTATTTGATAAACAAAACGATCATATAACTTGAAACATAATAATTGACACATTAATTAATGGTTCAGTGCACACAGGTGGTGCTTCCCCATCCCTACGATGAAAGTGGGAACAGCCCTGTTGCTGTACAGTACCCGCAAGAGGCATAGTTCTTTAATGAGTTAATTAAAACCAAAAGACATTGTTCGTTGAAGAGCATTTATTGTTTTCAATAGATACTGAAATACTGAAAAAGATTATCGTGAACTGGTGATATATTCTACTTGTTGAAGGCCTGCCATAATGGTGATCGGAAAGAGCAGTCATAGGTTAATAAATACATTTGGATTAATTATAGTTACAACAGTTATTGCTCAATTTTTCAAACACGTAAATCTGAGTAGGTAAATTAATTTCTCTTTCAAATGATCACGAAGTTAGCTACACAAAGTGTTTATTTTTTTAAAGCCATAAATCTGGAAAGGTTAATTACTTTATCTTTTAGAGTTTCATTAAGTTACCTCCACAAGATTCAGTTAAATAGCTAATCCATAATTAGCTGGGGTTAATCCATTCTATCAGATAGGGGAGTAAGGTGTGTTTTCTTTGCTAATTACCTACTCCACTGTCTCACAACTTGGACTCTCACAACTGGGAGTTCTCACAAATGGGAGTAGACCATAAGAGCTCCATTTAATATTATAAATGTTGAAGTGAGGGTGGTGATACCTTTTGTTAAGCCTTTTGTCGTATTTTAGCATAAACAAGAAGTAAGTTTTTAGGAAAGGAAAATGTGTTGAAAAAAATCGCATATTGGCCAAAATACATGACCATTGGGAGACATATTACCACTATGAATTTGTTGAATGAAGTAAAAACACCTTGAACACTAACGGTCATGTGGCACAGCCACAGAAATATGAGTTTTAAGTAAGGAGAAGAATCCTCGCTCATAGGCCTGTCCCTGGTATACAAGCTTGCTATGTATTACATTGAAATAGCATATTTAATTTTGCCACAGCGCAGAATTGTTTTTGACCAATGGGTTTCCAGAATGAAATTATCCAAATGCACCATTACAATATCACACCTCATGACTTACGCCAGAATCGACCATAGTTGTAAAGTGCACATATAGCATTACATAAACTGCTACACATCTCTTGGAAACTTAAAAAACATTTCTTACTTCTTCAGTATCTTAAAGCTCTCTTACTCTCTCTCACACTCTTTCGTTTCATATGTGTGTCTTAAATTCTTTGTCGCACACTTATTGTTGTCGATCAGGTCAGAACCCACAAGACCCCACAAAAGACAATTAGTCTATAAGTTTTAGTTACAGTGGTATATCACAGCTGTCGCCAGTCCTGGGAAAGTAGCCTCGGACATTTACTGGTAGCAGGGGCTGGCAGATTCTTATGTCTCGACTAATATATATAAATAGTATAAGCACATGTAGACTCTCTCTTTCACACACACAAACCGTAACAAAGTTAGTGACATTATGGTAAAATCCAAATGCGCCCCAACATGGAGGGTGGGCGGGGGTGGGTGGGGATCATAAGCACGTGTTTAATTGGTGACAAATGAGGGATCTCCTTGGCCAGAGTAACATTGTTCTAATCAATATACTGATGTGCAAATCAAGCAAAATGAGTTGAAAACAAAAAGGTAAAGCGTTCATCTGAAAAAAACCGAGTCCCTGTACCTCACAGCATTTCAGTTCTGCTGTTGATGTCATCCTAATCTAGATCATACCGTCCCCACCTCCAAACCAATCCCCTTCCAGAACACATGGTGTGGTGCTGGATATTTTTCTGGAATCGTGCTTATAGGATATTTTGTGTAATTAAAACTACAAACATTTTGGTTGCTTGTCTCTGACTATTTTAACACACTTTCCACTTGTTCAGATGAAACAATCACTCATGAGGTTACCTTGAAAAGATTACATGTAACAATAACGTTTGCCTCTGGGTATAGTTTCTGATAAAAGTCAGGCTAATTTTCCTCTATGAGCAATTATTTTTATGTTCGTTCAAGGTGGATGGGTGTCAGCCTCCTGCCCCCACAGAATCGTGTATGCGTTTAAATCCATCCTGAGACCTGAAAGTGTGAGGGACCATGTGGATTTATTACTATCCTTGTCAAGACAACCGCCAGTAGTCATCAGTGATTTAGCCCCGATGATGTCACGTCATGGAAACAGGAGGCGGAAGAACGTTTGGCTGAAGCAACTCCTGAGAACATACAAAAGGGGAAGGACGGAAACTTTTCTAAGAGCATACCTTACATGAAGGAATGGCTGACAGTAGCTCCACTAAATGCTCTGGACTCCGATGCGCATTTCCTGCCATCAAGTGAAACATTCTGTTTGCTTGATCAATTTCGTGAAGGGAACACGAAATCGGAAGAAGAACTGCTCAGACGTATTTCGTTTGTTCCCGAAATGAAAGGCAGAATAAATTCGCAAGTAGAAGAGCAAATGCACAGGAAGGTGAACCGGAACAACTACCTCCCAGATGTGATGTCGACAGGTAAATTATATGTTTGTCCTTCGACTGCTGTTACATTTTCACAATGAACAAACAAACAAGAAAATGACAGCCGCAGTCGAAGGAAAACTGAAAACTGACATTCTGTGTGGTGAAATTCGACACGACACGTTTGGCCGCCTGCACCTTTCAGGTAAATGACCTGATGTGAACTGATTATAGAAAATGTTTATTGAACTGAAGTTCAGTGTCTGATCGATTGACATTTTAATACTCAGTGTTTCTTGTGTATGTATGGATGTATGCATATGTGTGTCTGTCTGTCTGTCTGTCTGTCTGTATGTCTGCCTGTATGTCTCTCTCTCTCTCTCTCTCTCTCTCTCTCTCTCTCTCTCTCTCTCTCTCTGTTGGACAATGCAACAGAAGGTAAATTGATACAGTTCTATTCTACCGTGTGTGTTCATATACTTAACATGCAGCGTAATTTAGCATCCATTGTAAGAAACTAGTATTTTCATTGGCATTGTTATCACCGAAGTAATATGCTAAGTCCAATAATCGAGGCTGATTGTCGATGTTTTGTACAGGGGAAGCAGACCGTTGCACGATGCATGAAGACAAACAGGAGCGCAGAAAGGATTCGCTCAAAAGTAAGTAACATTGTTGTATCTGTTACATACATTGATAGATCGGGATACCCTCGCTATGACCCATTTTACTGCACCAATTCAGACATGGACACCGAGGCCCGGAACATTTACCACAGGGTCACTGTTCGACTGACACCGGTAGTAAACATAATCGTCATGCACGGACGACCACTGACAATGAGACACTCACTTTTCTGAGCTGGAACATTAATGGTCTGAGAGATAAGGTTGATGACATCGATTTCTTGAAATACCTGCGCAGTTTTAACATAATATGTTTATTTGAAACATTTGTGGAAAGCATGAATTATAATTGGCTTGAAGGTTATGATATATTTTATAGCCCTGCAATCAAGCTATCAGACTATGGCAGACATTCCGGTGGTGTTTGTATATGTATCCACCATGGTCTTAGAAACTTATGCGAACAAATAACAACTGATCTCGATAACTTTCTATGTCTCAAACTTGCTAAGGAATTGTTTTCTCTAGATAAAGACGTCAACCTGATATGTACATACATCCCTCCAACAGGATCAACTTACTATAAACATAAGACTTATAACTGTAATATTGAACAACTAGAACAATATCTTTTAGATAACCTTCAAGGCATGACTGAGTGTCATACTCTTATTTGTGGCGACTTCAACGCACGTACAGGTAAAGAAAATAACTTGACTTTGTCTAATGATGATGATGTGAATAATGTATTTCATGATGTTGATGATGACGACTACCCTATTGAAGATCGTAATTCCCATGATAATGTTATTAACGGTTTTGGTAGATTGTTGTTAGACTTATGTTATGCCTTCAAACTGTTCATAGTGAATGGTAGAGTACACGGAGACGAACAAGGCGAATATACATACAATGGCCAGCAGGGGTTCCAGTGTCAACGATTATTTTGTTTGCTCACCTGACTTTTCCCATTTATACATATGTTAAATGTTGGTGAAAGGGTGGAATCTGATCATTTACCGTTGGAATTGACTTGCCAATTAGCAGATATGATAAATATGAGTGACGGTTGTACAGATGTCTATTCTAAAGAAAGATATATCTGGAACGAGTATTTTAGTAAAACATATTTAGATAATTTGCAGAGTAATATTACTTCTTGTTACGAACATCTCCTGTCAAAACTTGATTGTGATCTGAACGGTGCTTTAGATGATTTTGTCCACGTTATACTAGAATCAGCAGAATGTATGAAGAAAACATTTAAGTCAAACAAACAGAGCAGTAAGCCAACAGTAGATAAAGACTGCAGGACTGCTAGACGAGATGCTCGCAAAGCACTGAGAAGTTTTCGGTTTAGACGCACTGAGAGTAACAGACAATATTTTTGCAAAATGAGAAATAAATACAAAACTTCATGTAGAATATATAAAGGTAGGTTGCGTAATCAAAACCTAAGAAGACTTAATGAGTGTGTCCATAATCCCGCTAAATTTTGGAAACAAATCCGTTCCTTTAGAAATCGAACAAATCCTAAAATAAATATTTCCAAACCTGAGTGGTTGATTCATTTTAAAGAGAGTGTTCTCAAATGATTCTATTCTTCAGAACGATAACATTGTTTTGATGATGATGTTCGTGATCTCAATCTTGATATGGAATATGAAAGTATCGATAAATTGATTTTAGAAACACAAATTTCTGATGATGAAATTAAAATGCGATTACTCATTTAAAGAGTGGTAAGGCAGCTGGACCTGACAACGTTGTGATTGAAATGATAAAATGTTCTCAGGTCGAGTTAATGCCCTTCCTACGGAAATGTTTCCATTCTATATTTGACAAAGGTGTATTTCCAGATAACTGGTCTCGTTCAATTATTGTTCCATTACATAAAAAGGAGCTTTAGACAACCCGGATAACTATAGAGGTATATCGTTAATGAGTATTTTAGGCAAAGGTATTTACAACCATATTAAATAACAGAATTTCAAATTGGTCAAATATGAGAAACCTGATTCCCGAATGCCAAGCCGGTTTTAGGAAAGAATATTCAACTGCAGATCATATTTTCACATTATATGCCATAATCCAAAATGTCTTTCACGAAGTAAGCACAAATTATATGTTGCTTTTGTTGATTTCAAAAAGCTTTTGACTCTGTAGATCGTTCCAAATTGTGGTATTGTTTAAAAAAATCTGGTTTACAAGGAAAAATGTATAATATTCTAAAGTCAATGTATTCTAACATAAAATCGTGTGTACGTTGTGGTAATGATGTAACCGACTTCTTTGATTGTCCCATAGGGTTACGACAGGGCTGTATCTTAAGTCCAATGTTGTTTTCTTTCTTTACAAGTGAACTGTATTACGATATTACAATCTCTGGTAAACACGGCGTTCAAATGTTTCCTGATATGCTTGAAATTTTCATCCTACTTTTTGCTGATGATGTGATCTTGGTGTCCGATACTATTATTGGCTTACAAAATCAACTCAATATCTTAGAACGTTACACAAACGACTGGAAACTCTTTGTTAATTTCGAGAAAACAAATATTGTAATCTTCAGATGAGGCGGTCCCGTCGCTTCAAAAGAGAAATGGTTTTTCAATGGCAAGTTACTGACTATCGCTAATCACTATACCTACCTTGGTCTTATGTTTTCACACGATGAATTTTAAAAAGTGTTCTTTATTTGCAATCACGTGCAAAGAAGGCTTTCATAAATGTTATGTCTGTTTCTCAGAATATAGGTGCCTTCACTCCAAACATATTTTTCAAACTATTTGATTCACAAATTCAACCGATTATGCTTTATGGGTCAGAAGTTTGGGGTTTCAGCGTCAAGAATGTCTTGAGAAACTTCATCTCTTAGCTTGTAAAAGATTTCTAAATGTTGGACAAGCAACGCCAAATTGTATGGTTTATGGGGAATGTGGGATATTTCCAGTTTATATAAATTCACAAATCAGATGTTTGAAGTATTGGCTTAAGATTCTGGAAATGCATGAACAACGAATACCTAAAATAGCTTATAATATGCTTGTTCATCTTGATAGCATGGGCAAGACAACTTGGGCTTCACATATTAGAAATCTTTTATTTTCCCATGGCTTTGGATTTGCATGGTTAAATCAGACAGTGGGTAATGTAACTCTGTTTCTTAAACGTTTCCGAGAACAGTCAATTAATATGTTCTATCAAGAATGGCATTCGACTCTCGAAAATAGTTCAAGGTATGATCTATATAGGTCCTTTAAGAGCCTTATCCAACCAGAAATATATTTATCTGTATTGACATCAAGAAATATCAGACGCACATTTGTTCAGCTCCGACTAGGTTTATTAGATTTAAGTATTAATAAAGGTAGAAGATTGTCTATAGACAGAAATATGAGAATTTGTCCATTATGCAGTTCATCTATTGAAGATGAAATTCATTTTATATTTGTATGTCCATATTATGATGATCTTAGAAGAAAATATATTTCAAGTAATTATCTATCAAAATATCCAACAATAGCCTTTGTCTCAATTCTCACTTCCAGAAATGAAACTGTTATCCGCAACCTTTCTCTATTTGTAAAACATGCTGTTGTCTTGAGAAATGATAGGTTATCTAAGCAATAACCATTATAATTGCCATTGTATTATGTACTGTAATTATGTATATGTATGTAACTCCTTGTATATGGGCCGGAGGCCTTGAATACAATAAACTTGACTTGACTTGATACCCTCTCTTACACTGAGAGACATATTTCCTTGTTTTGACTGTACTTTGTATGACACAGATCACAAGGTTACCTTGGAACAGCTCCGGGTAGCTCTGCAAGAGGCAAGTCGATTAAACGCAAGACGACATCGCCCAGGGACGTCAGAGCGCTTACAGGCCTCGGTATCGGAACACGGACTGTGTTTCCGACGGAGGACTCCCCGGAGACGGCAATTGCTTCTTCCATGCAGTTGTAGATCAGCTACAACGCTTGGATGGCAGATCAGAATTTGATCATATGGGATTAAGAATGGCAGTTGCTAACAGCTTACGGAGGTATCCTTATGTAAGTGCTTGCAGTGATATATATATCCGCACAAATATCTACTTCTGAATGTAACTTAGGTTTCTAATACGCGCGCGCGCACTCACTCACTCACTCTCACACACACACACACACACATACACACACGGAGTATTTTTGTGTTATACTAGTTTTTCTTATATATTAATTCATTTACCACAGGAAGGGGGCACACACCTATCCAATTTTGTCGATGTACAACTGCACAAAACCTGGAACGTTTACTTGGAGTCCATTGCTAAATCGGGTGAATACGCTGATCACCTTGTGGTACAGAGAACGTCGCAGCTTCTGAAAAAAAGGCATTGCTGTTTTCACAAGTTCTGAAGATGGAACCGCGTCAGACAATAATGTTGTCATGATAAGCGGTGGACCAGGAGCAGCTATCATGTTAGGTCACTATCATGAAGCGCATTACCAGAGTCTCGATCTCCAACGTTATGGAAAGTATTCCGTATTCAATATTGTCATTGATATAGATTTCATATTCCAGAAAGTGATGTATTCAATACCAAATACTTGCTCACATATGTAACACATTTTGTTCTCGCACTGGGGTGACCAATACCTATTACAGACCCCGGTGGCCTGTAGTTGAAATCAGTGGTTGATATCATAACAAAGTCCCACACCATAGGCATTGCATTCGTGTCGTACGGCAAACTGCGATAATACTGTTCATACAATGTGGAATATTTTCTTGAACCAGCACCACTTGTTCGTCTTTAACACCTAATGGTACTGTTTTCTCGGATAGCCGTGGTCAGTTGTTGTCCGTTTATGCAGGAATTGCGGTGAAATACGCTGAATACGCTTAAAGAGATATTGCAAAGGTAAACAATTCACAGATTGCTCACTAACTCATACAGTGGTACTCAGCAGTTTGAAATAAGTAACATCGTTTTCAGCAATAATGCAGGTCGCTGAGCATTACCCAGAACTCATACAATTGTCCGTTAGTGTCCTGAATAGTGTTCGGTTCATGTTTCATACAAAAGGGCGTGGTGCACCAATTGCATACCACAGAATGGATATACCTGTGTAAAAATATACAAACGTTTGACGTATATCTCATTTTAGCAAGCAAGTACTCTAACAATTCGTCATATTGTCATTTTAGGGCAACTGGAGTGTATCCAAGAACAAGCAAATTCAGCAGAATCAACATCAACTAAACTGGATGTGGTGAGGGTAATTCAATGTATCAAATCGTAGAGATGATGTAATGATTTAATGGTTACAGTGCGGTACACTTGTGACTTAAAAGTACATAATGTGAAGTACAGAAGATATTGGGGACCTAACCTTGCCTGATGCAGCTATACCGTTGTTTTCATAATAGCTTTGATGTAATTATTTTCAGTTTCAAGATATCTGCAATGATAACAGACTACTGGACGACATAGTCGTGTCCATAGGTCCCTATAGAGTTTCAAAACTGGATATCCTGACGATAGCACCAAGGCTTCCGAAAGAAACCGAAGACCAAATGAGAGACAAAATAGAGAAAGAGATGAGATGGCTGGGTGAATGATCAGGTATGTGTAAAAGACAGTATAAGCAGTTAATACACGCTGATAAAAGAAAAAACCCAAGTAACAATAATAGTAAATACGTTTCTTTTGCAGATAATAAATGCCTTCCTGTATGTGCTGTGTCAAGGACGAGAGGTATGTGGAAGGATTTTTAACATACAAGGCAATTTAGAAATAACAACAATACAAGATGTCGACTCGTTTGTTCAAAGAATATACAATATGACTGAATGTTGTGTTTATGTATACAATTACATACGGTAAACAATATTCGTCCTTGAATATATAACATGTTCTTTTTTTCGTGTTATTTGCTTCAGTGTAAGGAAAGAAATGTAGCTTTATCAACTCAGGTTATTGAGGGATGGCGAAATTTCAAGTCGGGAAGGAGTCACAGAGTGGCACTTCTACAAAAGGTGATGAATTGATATTGTGTACAGTACATACCTGTGAGATAATATACACTGCAACAGTTGATAAACGTCAGCAATGACTAATTATGGAATTGAATTATTTCCTACGAATATAACAAATTCATTGTTGATCGCATTATAATTTGTTTGTTTGTTTCTTGTGTAATGCCACAATATGGCGATTCGTTCACTATGTAACTGCTATGTTGCACAATACTACTGCATTATGAAGATGGCATCTCAGAACGAATATTGTTCCAAATGTAACAGACAATATTCGTTATATTTCAGGAAAAACTCTCAGACGCAGAAAAAGTGTTTATACCGATTCATAGACAGGGCAGCCATTGGACATTGTTGGTAATTGGTATTTCCTGGGTATTTAAGACAGTAAGAGTGGTGACTTATAAGCTATATGTGTCTGGGACGCGTGTTGAATTTCAGCAGTGTTTAAACTTTTGTGATTTCCTGTCACCGAGTCTGATCCAGATGTCATGACTAAATGTAGCTTGTCGTAATCTGTGGTTATCGCCAATAGTGATGTGTTTCTGGCGTTTCAGCAGCCTTATATTGTATTTTTGGAGCAAATGTCTTATTCAGTGGGAAAGGGGAACGCCAGGTGTATTGACATATAATAGTATAACATTTATTCTTCTAACTCAGGTTTTGGATGTACAAACCAAACAAATGCGTTTCTATGACCCCATGAACCGGACATTTGATGAAGAGGTGGTCAACATCACAAGGTATGATTGTTGACTTAGTACATGCCCTGTTCTGACACCTACGAGGACATTATACTTGCACGCACGCAAACATACAGAGGGTAACTACCTTCACGCCTCCTAGTCTATGTCTATTCATTGTTGAGTTATCTGTCGGGTTCTACTCTCATTGCTTTGGTATGTTTCTATGAAGGGAGTACATGGAATACAGACTTCAGAATGTACCGGATGATGCCATTGACCCAACACACTTCAACGTAGAAGTCGGTCATGGGTACACAACACAGAAGGACACTACCAGCTGTGGGGTTTACGTGTGCATAGTGAGTACAGTGATATGTTGAAAAGGGTTTTATAAACGTTTTACTGAATTAATGGCTGCATATTTCACTTTTACTTATTCAACAACTATTCAGAAAATATTTAAATTTTTACATAAATGAAAGTATACTTACTAATGTAAGGGTCACACTGAGCATCGTTTACTTGTTTCAGTATGCTTGGAACGAATGCAGGAAGGACAAAAAGGTATGACCTTTTTGACGTTTGTGTTCTGTGTCTAATGTTCTGAACAAAATGAACAAACTTCACATGTGTTACTATATGTCCCAAATATACCCAAACAGAACAAAGTGTGATGTTAACGGATACATGTGGCTATTTTACGGACGTAATGAGCGTACACTTAAACAGGATTAGGCATTAAGGTGCGCCTGGGGTACAACAGGAAGGCAACGTTGTGTCATCGACTGCCTAACACACATGAACCTAGCTTTAAGCAACCTGCGCCATTGCTGTACCAACATGGCACCCAGCTGCTGAACATTCTGGGGTTGACTTCTCAAGGCACGAAGATTTCTTTCAAGAGCTGATGGGACTAAGGTCAGCTGGTGTCGATGCATTTTGCAGGACATTTCGTGTCAAAACAGCTCTGTGTAGTGTTACATTGTGATATTGGAATTGGTGGCTTCAACCGTGAACAGCCACGCACACGAACAGGGTCACGTGTTCATAAAAGAGTACCGCAGTAAAAATTGGTGGATGCGTCAGGTGTAGACATGACCATTATGGTATTCGCCCATATCAACTACTTTGTATTGCCCATTTCCATAGTTCAATTATCTGTTTCTGTTCAATATACAGTGTATTTTACTTTTGACGGACAGACAGCAAACTGATATATATGTATGTCTAAAAAAAGCAATCATCACATTTTTGCAGGTTGACCCGAGCAGTTGTCGTTCTTTCATTGCTGAAGAAATTTTGAATGCAGGGAAGGATATGCAACCGAAGGTACGTCTATTTGGGTATTCAGTAAGATTGTGACGTTGATAGAACATAGATAGATAGATACACGTTCTGATAGAACAGGTATTTATTTACACATGCTTGCGCGAAAACGCTTTCCATTTCAGAATACCACACATGACGTACCAAGAAGATACGGACTGCGAGAGCAAGTTCCGGCGGTAAGACATAATATGTGTCCTAGTTTGAAATACATAGTTTTCCATTTCATGAAGTGTGGAAATACGTTTAGCAGAGTTGCATGTATTATATTCAGAATGAGAAACGTGGCTCTAATAACAAAGTGCTATATCGAAAGATTGACAATCCAGATTGATACAGGTGTATGTAACAGCGGAACTAAATATGGCCATTGAAAAGAACTGAAACGGTAACTAAACAGATACACATATACCCAGTTATTAATAAAGGCTCATTGACTATATGAATCAATGTCACACATCTACATGGTTCCACATGGCATGGTCTTTACACTAGAGCAAATATACCAACATGAGAAATATCTAGCTATGTCGAAGTCAATAGACCACTTTATGTCCACAACTTGCGATGATGATATTCCCAGGGGCGCAGCTACCATTAAAAAAAACTCCGGGCTTACACATGATTTTTGCTAAAGATCCTCATGAAAGTTGGGCAAGCCCTCAAAACTATCTACCTATAAAGCTGTGCGACCTATCGGGTTTACACGAAAGAATTGACTTGATACGCGCCTGATTCCGATCACTGTGTATGTTGTATTCATGTGCACATTTTTGGGCTTCATAAGTGAATGTGAAACTGACGTGATTTAATTCCTACCATAATGAGTTGTAAGTAATAATTGTGGTAATGATATACAGCCATAGAAATACGTATGTTATGTTTCTATATCAGAACATATTTTCCGATTCATGGTGTGCTGACCAACCGCTGCCGTTGAAACGGACAAGACGACCTGGACAAGACGACCTGGACATACGTCAGCGAAGATCCATTCACGGGTACATGAAACTAATCAATGACATATCGGTAACAGTAAGAGGTTAGAGCATGGATGAGCATATAAAAAATATGGAATGTTTTGTAAAAGAATACAGTGTTCTTTTGTTTGTGCATGAATAAAACACGTTTCTGTTTCATTTAGAAGCAGTCTCCTGAGGTTCAGCTGAAACGGTATGCTACCTTTCACTTGTGACAATTATAAACGAAAGCTGCCAAAGCATTTTCAAAGTGCCTGTTACTAACACTTAACCATTACGACTGTGTTTTAGGCATAATTTATAACCAATGAACTGTTATACCTCTGTGAGCTTGTGCAGCATTGGATGTACGAGGAACTAATTCTAATTCACTACTATTTCAGCGAAGGATGTGCGGAAAAGGCGACAGCGAGAAGAACAGCTTTGCGTGGGTATATCATTTTTCCAGAAAAGGGTAAATTGAGGGAGAGAGGGAAGTGTATGTGTGTGTATGTGTGTGTGTTTGAGAGAGCGAGAGAGAGTAATGGCGTGTCTATGTGTGTGAGGGGGTGGGGGGTTAAAGTTTGAGAGATTCCATGGAGTTAGCATACTGTTTTAATGAATATGTTTCTTTAATACAATTAGCGGTTCCCGTAGTGGACATGGCTGAGTTCGGTGATCAGCAGGTGAGTGTACTTGCTGATGATCTGGAGGAGCTGAAGACTGTGGAGCGATCACAATTCCGGAACATGGTATGAATATGGACATATATTCACCTACTTCATCAGCTTAAATATATACTGGCATAACTGTAAGTTACTAATTAGGGGATGTACATGAATGGAATGATTGGATGTTGATTCTGATGTTAATCGCCTTTTCTTCTTTAGTATTGTACTAGTACTAGTATTTATGCACACTGGATAACCTTTGCAACAAGATTTTCTTTTCGAACCTTCAGGTGGAAAAAGTAATTGAAGAAGATATTCCACGATTGTACAATTATCCGACAGAAACAACATCAGAAGTACCGAATGAGTATGAGCGGCATCTGCTCTTCTTTAAAGGAAAGAAACTTGAGAGGAGCAGAGCAATGTCCCACCTCAACGCCGTTGTAAGTATTACTGTACTGTGACTTCATAACTTTTTGTCAGAAATGACTATGACTATTTGCAACTCCCAAAAATTACAGCCAGACCACAGGACTGGTTAGATGTAAAACTTGCCAGCCCTGACCAAAACTTACCTGCCCGCAAATAATACAAGCGACGTAGTTTATCATCAATTTATTTTTACGAGTGAATTAATACTGATATATGATGATTATCTTCATATACATGTCTAAATTTTAACCCGACCGTGGGGCAGGTGAATTTGAGAATGTGACAGTCCGTGTTGTAAATATCCCGTCACGGGCGGTAGGGCAGGCAGGTATTTCGAACGCTGCTATTTGTTGGGCATTGTGTCGATATAAATGTATCAAACACAGTTGTTACATTGTATGCCTCTACATCTGTTCCAAAGTACAATTTGTCTAAGCCAACCCCTTACTAATGCCAATATGTTCATATTGTTCAATATTGTTTCCGTAAATTTGTAAAGAGAGTATGTAAAAATGGTAGAATGATTTTCATTTCAGGGGTATGCCATACTTATGCAGACGATGGAATCGAAATTAGGATACAGTGAAATTTAAAAAAAACGTGTTGTTCATGATGATGGTTGGTGTCAGTAATAAGAAACAAGTGATTAATAAAGATTGAGTGTTTCGTACATAATTACCAGGTAGAGTTCCAGCATGCACTACCATGAATATACACTCTTCATGCATAGTCATACTATTTTCAGACTGTATGATATAACCAAAAGAAATTTGGTACTTCCGGATGCTGTACTACAGAGTGGACGTCCAAGGTATGTGACTGAAGGTTATAAGGTACATGTATTTAAAATAGAATTGTTCTATTGTTTGTACGTGGCTTTAGCTCTGATAAAAGTGCTGTCATTTTATTCATGTATATTTCAGGAAAGACTATTTTGTGAAGGTGGTGGAAGACTACATTTTCTTTCATGTCAGGAAGCATTTCGGAGCGTATAATTCTTGACTGGATGAGTGTGCCACACGTGGGTATGTGTATGTTAGTTAGAGTGAGTGAGTGAGTTTAAATTTACGCCGCACTCAGCAATATTCCAGCTATATGGCGGCGGTGTGTAAATAATCGAGTCTGTACCAGGCAATCCAGTGATCAACAGCATGAACATCGATCAACGCAATTGAGATACGATGACATGAATAAGTAAGCGAGTCTGACCAACCGATCCAGTTAGTTGGCAAGCATGGGTTACTGAAGATCAACCCGAATATTCATGGGTTATCTTAGTTAGAAAAGGAAAGGGAGAGCAATTGCCAGTTTGACGAAGCTCGACACCCTTAAACACACAGACACTTCATTTAAAGCATATAAGCCTTGTGAATTTGTGGCTTATGTTGAAATCCAGATAATAAATTATATAGGTCATCCTTGAACCTTGGACTCAATTTTAGTTGGATATACTATGTTCTGCCTTTATGTCAAAGTAACATGGCTGAAAAGGAAGAATGCAAACTGAAGCAAGTGTTCATACAAGCATGTACTCATCATGTCGTACTATAGCAATTCCTGAATGTTTCAGTATATGTTATTTTGTTTCAGATTCCAGACGGATAGTCAAATGTTCATTGTAATAAAAGGCAGTATAGGAACTGAATAAACCACTCTCTCATACGTACTGTATAAGATCAATTTAACAAAAGAATTCATTAATAGCCCCATATTTTGCGTACATAAAGCAAAATGGGTTTTTATTTTTAAGCAAATATCTGGGAAAATGTTCTGAGTAGACTTTTCATTATGTCATTAATATAATGCCTTTTTCCCCCGTTTAACGCCAAATGTGTTACTTCTGTTGTTAATTCTAATGATGGAGTCATCAACAGTCCAAGGTACCGATATGATGAAACAACTTCGAAAAGTTCATTACGATAATCCACTTTGTTTTTGTTTCCGAAAGGTTGGCATTTAACTTCCATGTTCAACAGTAGTTATGTAGAATATTAAGTTGCGCTTGTAACCCACTTACTGGATCACACATAAAAGTAACCTCAGAAGAAGAAACAGTTGATGTAAATCAGGGAGTAATTGTACTCCTCTACAACGTCTATCAAAATCATCGGCAGCCAACTCATTGATGAAGTAGTAAACAGAATGAGGCTTAATATACAGCCCTGTTTTAGTCCAACAGGACAATCAAAACACTCAGTAAGGCCATCGTTACGCCGTACGCTAGTATGTCTCATTGTCTGAACCACATTATTGCCCACAACTGCTCAGCCCTCCCTGCAATGTTACAAAATGTACACCTATTAGACTAGTATATTTTAGTCTCTTTCATCTTATAATCCCCTATTTATTGTATTGTATGACCAGAAAATATTGAGAATTTTAGGAATATGTTTAATTGGATTTCTAGTATAAACAACCTTGACCAGCTATCAAGCGCTTGGTTTCATTCAAGAGAGACAACTCCGTTAATCCTTTTTCATTAGTTTGTGAAGAGTTATCCCCCTTTGTTTACTTGTTAGCAGACGACATTTTCAGTGATCCTCAGTTTGGATGATTAAGAGAAGAGGAAGTTGATTTTAGAGTATTATAACAAGGACATCAGATCAGCTAAAGTGATTTCAAGTAAAACAGGCATCCCTTTGTCCACTGTTTATCGTGTTTTGAAAAATATTGCAAATGGATATGGCATTGAGCACCAGGGAGGCGCAGGTAGGCCCAGAAAATTGATTGTCGGTGACAGGAGGCGGCTTAGTATTCTTGTTTCTAAAAACAAACGAAGGAGTTCAGAAAACTGAAGGCTGGATATGATTGATAGAGGGACTGTGGCTGTCTGTAAGGAGACAATTAGAACTGAGCTGCATGCAATGGGTGGGCAGAAAAGTTGAGGATTTCTATCACCGATCATGAAACCTGAACAAAAGGAGCGAAGGTTGAACTGGTGCTTACAGCATAGACATTTCTGAAAATGAAGAAAGTCTCAGGGCTCCTTTTCATTATATTATATATTTTTTTACTATGAAATTTTTTCAGTAAAATATGTTCATTTCAGAGACTAGTTGTTAGTCTAGCTAATGAGACTAAGGGTCCTGTACCATGCTTGTGAAATATCTATGATGCCTTATATGAAGTCAATAATCTAAGCAAGTCTAGCTATGTATGGCTTTAAGTCACTGCTTGAAGAAAAGCTCCTTTAGAATTTGATTTGGTAAATATTAGTATTTCACTGACTCAATCACATTCGAAAACGCATAGCAGCCTATAATTCATTGTGACTATGATTAAGCCACCACTGTAAAACACAAGGGTTATTTCCTTTGACAGGCTTTCGGTATCAAATATTTAGAACTCCAGCCAAAGGTGGAAACATGGCGTTTTTGTAATGCTTTTGTTGCACTTAATGATAAGTGATTGTTAAATCGGTCTCTGGTTAAATGTACATATGATGTTTTTGAAGGATAATCTCAGCTGACTCAGAGACTTTGCACGTGTTTTCCCCCACTCTTTCCACACCCATCCTTCAGTTTTTATGTTTGTGACATGATCTGCACACTGATAATTTACAGCAGGTATATAAATAATAACTGTTTGCAATCTTTACCCAATGTAGTTTTCCATTTATTTAGCAATTTTCAGTTTCTATTAATTTCTGGAACTTTTGTACGGAGGTACATTTAATTAACAGTTTCACCCAATAACAGTAAAGCATAGTTATAAAACGTTTCGGTACTTTGATAGATTAATAAGTTCACATTATATTCCATGATATTGGGATGCCAAAATGATTAACATTATTATATAATGTATAACAAATCAGACAGCAAAAAGCAAAAATTAAAACGCATAAGCAACATAAATGATGTCAGGTAGTAAGCTTTCAATAATTACAGAAACTGCTTAGTTATCTAACTTTATGAACTAATTGCAATCACTACAGTTTTCTATAATCTACCCAGGAGATGGAATCAAAATAGGTGTACAGTATATTCCGTCGGGTAACTGAAATTTGAGAAAACGTCCGTATGGGACAACATCTGTATTCCGAATCAAAAGAGGCCATCTGACGTAGTGGTGTAACGATTCATCGATAGTATCGATGTTTGCATAGTCAACTATGCGATACGAATGCATCAATACAAAACACATTTAGGCAATACATCAGGATATTAATATCGCAAGGGCTGTGATACATCGATGTATCGCCACAAGAGACGATATATCCCGATACTACTTAAGTACTACAGAAAGTTGTAAGGAGTATTGCATTAGGAAAAGGAAGGGAGTCTCTTTGAAATTCTTCTGAAGTGAACCTTGTACTGTGAGACGAACTTAAGAATAATGCCGACCTGTCATTTGAACCCGTGCATCTGAATAGCGGTGCAGTCCATTTTATCATTAAGGTGCCCAGGGTATGTAAAGCGATAGACTAAGGCTTAGTCTCTGAATATATATAATTTGGATAGTAACAAACAAGCCCATTTATATTGAAAAGGAGCCCTAGGGAGACCAGAGATTCAGAACCTGAGGAAATCTAGACTTGCTTTATTTAGGGCTTTAGCACTGGAGAGAGGGCTAGGCAGTAGGGAAAATAATGTTGTTCAGGGACTGTGAGACAGACTAGTAAAGCGATAAACTGTCAGTGTTGGCATTGTCTTGGTTACTGTGTAACAGTGTTGAATGTACTGGCGAATTGCGCATTTATCAAAATCATCAAATTCAATTTTCCCTTCGGTACGAGTACGCACTTTCCCTGGGCTTGGTACCCATCGCGGGAACGCATTTACGAGGCGCGTAGCAAGCCAATTTTTGTCGTGTAAGCCCGATAGGCTGCAAAGCTGTATATTTAGTTAGTGTTGAGGCCTTGCCCAACTTTCATTTTCAAAATCATGTCTAAGCCCGGGGCTTTTTTCATGGTGATAATTTCAAAAACCCAAATCACTTTATTAGGCATTGGGCTAAAAATTGAATTTTAACAATTAAGGACCTTTGTAATGAAGATATTTTAAGTCTTTTGAAGATCTGAAACTCAAATTTGATATTGGAGGAACATATATGTTTTTTGTAATGTTGATAGTGAAACTCTATGTCATGTATATTGGGAATGTGTTGTAACTGAAACCTTCTGGAAAGAACTTGAAAACTGGATAATCCAAAACAAACAGAAATTTGAAATAAGAAAGACTGGTTTGGTTTGGTTTTTGGTAATAAGCCATTGCTAAATCATATAATCTTTTATGCTAAAAGTCATATATATATACTTGCACTTTAAAGAATAGAATTCCAAAAGTTAATTTAAAGACACTTACACGGTTGAAAAATTCATATCCAGAAGAAACAATAATTTTGATAATTTTCAGAGAAATGGTTTCCTTTATCCTCAGTTTTCAATCTCTGACTTAATCTGTAATAAAACTTGAATAACTTTATTGCATTAACATGTCTTCATGCTACCAGTTAATGAACTTTGATCATGCATATGTACACTTTTTGCTTTACTTTATATGCTTGTATTCAATTATGGGAACAAATGAAAAAATAATCACAAAGAGTTTAAGGTAGCTGGTCACGTGATCATTATCGTATTATAGTTTCAGACCATCACACCGATTACAAATTAGATATTCTTCAAGATCATTAAGGTTAACAGCTGTGTTTGTTCAAACATGCCATAGAAAGTCAAGTGAGAGTGTATGAGTGGTTTTTTTCCAACACGTGGGCGGACATACATACATACCATTGCAACCGCTTCACAATATATTATATGCACAAATATTCTACATACACAATGAATTTTAGGAGAGTGGGTCGTTTATGTTTCCGTAGTTCCACCAGAAGACATTTTGGATAATAAATATCACACTTTTAATATAATCATACCCAATTAAGTGTTTTGCTATATATTCTTACAAACTTAGTTGCAAATACTTGCAATACTGTTGACTCACCTTTAAGCAATATTTACGTATTCACTCACTAAGTCTTTTGTCACTCCAGATGTTTTGTATGCATACGTTGGTTATGTACAGCAAAGTATACCATGTATACAGCTTAGTATTTCTAAGTAACCCACCTTCGTCACACTTTGGTGTGAAAGGTGTCTGTTGAGTTTACACAGAAC